TTTACTTATTATAGATAACTGTGAAAAAAATAGTGTGACACACACTACTTGTAATACAATACTATTTCTTATAAGTTTAAAAACAGTTATACACTGGGAAACCAGACTTCTGTTAAGAAATAGTAGTCTTAACAAATTATTGACAACTGTGGCAATAAAAACTGTATTTTTTTACGAAACCGAATACTAATAATAGATGACCGTTTCTCACAGCTTCAAAAACAGTTCTACCCATAATTTATAGACTATTGTTCTAAAAGAGTCTTCTATTCCTATTATAAACAACAGTGGCAAAAAACCCATACGAAACAGACAACAAACGTTAGATAACTGTTTCTAATAAATTTTAAAACAGTTCTAGAATAAAAACCCAGACTATTGTTTAAATAGAGTATTCTTAACTTCTTATTGACAACTGTTGTAAAAAAAACTGTATCTTGAACTGAGACAGACAACTAATGAAACATTACCGTTTCTCGAAACTTGAAAAATAGTTTTAAAGCATACAACCTAGACTACCGTTCTGTTCTTATGAAAAACTTACAGTAGTCTGTTTTTTTCAACTACTGTGTTTGCATAAACAGTAGTGAATCAACAGTGGTCTGATGCTGTTTCTGGCGTAGTGTTATTTTGTGTTAAATATATTCCTTAATGGGGTGTTTCGAAATTAACAAAGTAAAGTAGGAATGTGATTTGATTTCTTTCCTAAACACTAAAAGGTACATTCTCATCAGGAATAGGAATGTAGATTTTGCTCATTTAGTTTTGTCTATTTCAACAATGATAGATTAAATAGAATTAGAGAATTAATATTTGGAATTATATTTTTATAAATTTGACAATATGATTCTCAGATTGTATAAAATTATTCATAATTAAATATTTAACTTGAATATTTAATTTGTAATTTTGGAATAAACTGTTTATGTAATTACTGCAATTTTTGAAACTAATTTTTTAAAATTTAATAATTAATGTTTAAACTTTGGAAATTTGTTATTTGGTATGAATATCTAAATATTGTGAAAATACTGATTTTTATAATAATTATGATATATGAAACAATTCTAGTAATTATATTCTAGAATTATCAAATAATAAATTAAGATTTAGGAAAATCAAATTTTGAGAAATTGGGAAATTTGATTTTCAGATTATACATGAGTAAAAATATTTATTTTAAGAAAATATTTATTTTCGGAATATTCAAAATTAAATTTCGAAACAAATTTCATTCTTTTTGAAATAAATTCCATAATACCAAAAATAAAATTTTTTTTAAATCTGGAAACTTTATTTTCAGATTGAATCTGATCCAAAATATTTAATTTTGGAAATGATGGATTTGGGAATATCCGAAATTAATTTTGGAAATTAAATTCAGGTCTTACACGATTAAATATGGAATTTTGAAAAATAAAATTTAATAAATTCTGGAAATTTGATTTTCAGACTTATAAAATCGAAATACATATTTTGGAATTTATTTGTTAATTTTAAAAAGGCATAAGTATATATTTCAAATTAAAAACTCAATTTTGAAATTAATAGCTATATTTATGGAAATTATGTATTTTCAAATTCAGGAAAATTAAAAATTAAATTTTGGATGTTCTGTAGTTTTAAAATAAAACTAAAATAAAATTATTTTATAATTTTTGGCTTGTAGTTTATTTTTTTTGAATAAACTAGGTCGGGGGCGAGCGCCGCTTGCCCGGTGTATGGATTTTTATGTATGTTATGTATGAATATTTGGATTGTGCATGGTTGTGGCTTAGAATGTGTGGTTTTTAAATACGGAATGTGTGTCGTGCCTCAATTCTGAATTCTTGTTGTAAATCTATTCTTAAATTTCATACCTCTTGCTTACAAAGCAAGGATTCTTTTCTCTAAATTAAACAAAGAAGTCCATGAAGAAGGGAGGAAGATGAAGGAGCCAAGAAGAAAATGACATTAGCAAGATGGGCTAGGTAGTACACATGCACCATCCTCAAGCAGAGCCAAAGCAAACCAATACCAAACCAATATCAAACAAAGTCCAGAGAAAGAGAAGTCTAGGTAGTACACATGCACCATCCTCAAGGTTAAGCAAACGACATCAAAGCAGTTGTAGGCTATAAACAAAGAGGGTGAAGTCAGAGATAGAGATCTTAAGTGAATGCTTTATTGTTAGTTTCTTTAGGAGGCCACAACCATGTCACGTTTTATTCATTATACATGTTTGTATGCTTAAATGTATGTTTGAATGATGTTCGCTAGTGTAGGTGCGCGGCATATACCAATATAACATATGTGAGACCACATTAAAAATCCCTCGTAGTATTTAGCATGTGCCTTCCAACGCCTACTCACTCGTCATTACCAGTTTTGACAAGTCAACGGACACGCCAAAGCGAGACGCCTGGTTAACATTAGTATGACGCGAAATCCGTAACAATGGATACTGAGTACGTCCCAAGTTGGACTTAACTAAATTAAGGTAAAAATATGAATAACTTAGAGGCACATGGTTAGGTTAATAAATAAAATCCAGTTCATCTGACCGAAGAATGTCATCGCACCATAATGTGTCATCTCACTGGAGTCAATCCCATATATATATATATATACACACACACACACACACAAGCATCCATACGCGCGTTGCACGGATTTTAGTGCCCGACCATGATTTTACGTGAGTTTTTTTAAATTTTTTAATATGAAATAATGTTGTTGAATTAGTGCATATTTTAATTCGTTTAACAAGGCGTATACAAATGAAGCTGGCAATGATGAGAATGAACTTGATTATATTAAGCTGCCAAAGATTGAATAAGAATGAGTTTGATATATAATAATGGGTGGTACTTTCAAATTCATACAAAATGTCTATAATAGTGTTCCAATTGAATAACAAAAAGGGTAATGATAGTACTTTTTTTGTGTAAATAGGAAATTCAAATATTATATGATGATATCTACATAGAGTAGACATATCAACGCACTTCGAATACCATAAGAATTGAGGATCTACTTATTATTCGTAAAAAAAGGGAATAAATTTGTGATAGATATGATGAGAATAAAAAGAATAATGATAAAATATGCACAAAATGAAAGTTACAAAATGGTACTGCGTATAAAATAATCACACTACAACTAAATTGGTGGCAATGGCTTGACCTCTGAACAATAAATGGATAAGAGGTCTGAATCATTAAGTGCTGAACCAGTAAGAGATCTGAACCATTAAGAGCTAGTATATTGCTTAACTATTCAGAGGCAAATGTCTGATCAATTCAGATAACAGCTCTTAACCATTCAGACTCTGTATAATACTTAACCATTCAGAGGCAAATCTCTTAACCATTTAGACATCTGAACCATTAAGAGGCTGAAACAAACAGTCTGAACCATTAAGTGCTGAATCATTCAGACATCTGAACCATTAAGAGGCTGAAACAAACAGCCCCTAATAATGGCATCAAAACTGCTATCAACTTACTACAATATAATATCACTCTAACAGCAAAGAACACATTTCTACAAAAGAATACTGCCTATGATTTTAGGCATTGCATCAGTTACCATGGAATAGCAACAACAACAAAAAAGAAAGAAAGAAAAAATTGCACTACTTTTTATGGCTCGCGATAGTTTCTGTATTTCTCTGTTAGATTTATCCATGAAACCTTGCGACAAACTCACTGCATGTCCGGGACTTCTTGACCCAAAGTCCCAAACGAGTTATGCTGTGCACACAATGAGCTAAATGGCTCTCTCCCAGTTAGTTAGTGGGTATCTTCAGTCTTTGTTCCATCCGGGGATATTATTTGTCGCTTCGTTCACCATCTTCACTAGTCTCACCTGCAACATTGTGCATGCTAATAAGCATCATCGTCATCATTATTCCTTAATAGCTGGGGTCGGCGGCATAAAATAAAGATTGCAAACTAATTGTCTAAAGTTATAAACTTGTTCTTTATGGAAGCAATGTTTTAGGACGGATGCCTTTTGGACTATAGGTTAGGATATTGATTCTGGAGTTTCTCTCTTGCTAACCATTGAGTTTCTCCCTACTGTCGAACAACTCTCGCTGGCCCTCTTTCATGCCGGCCGCGATCCCAATTGCCGGTTCTCTCACTCTCTCTCCCGTCAATCCCTCTCTCGCCAGATCCCTTCTCGTCGTTTCTCCATCGGCTCTCTCTAGCCGGCTCACTTCTTGGTTTGCACGGCAGTGTAGGTCGGCAGCGGGCGACGGCGGACAGAGACTCCAGGCCGAGGTAAGTTTTTGATCCTCATCCCCCTCCCTCCCCACACCCAACCCTTCCTCCCAGCCCCCCCTCCCTCCCCAAGTCCCCACACCCAACCCGTCCACTCTGCACCCAACCCTAGTCGCCGGTTACCCACACTGCGTCGATAACCACTTCAGCTCCTGATCCCAGCCCTAGATGCTACCAATTGCCTCGCTAGATCCCGCCGACCAACCCTAGATCTCGCCAGCAACTAGCTTAGTCACCGCCGGCGCCCGCTTCTCCCCCTTTAAATGTCATCACTAGTCATCCTACTTTAGCCGCACCCCCCACCATCACCCCATCACCTGCCACCCGAACTTTTTTCCGCCACCACAATTCTCAGCCAATTTTACCTGCCTTTGTTACTTTCTGTTATTTCCTTTTTACTGAATCTCTTATCCCTCTTTTTATTGATTGTATTGGCCCCCCTTCACTATTTTTATTGCTCTTGTTGCTTGTATTGGTGATTTCTGTTGTTTGCTACTGACTCTATCGTTACCATTGTATTTCTTGCTTGTCTTTTGGTGGTTTTTTTTCTTTTTGTAGGTGCTACTTTGCGAGCATAGTGGCTTTAGTTAGCAATGTAGATTTAAGGTCATATCCTGGGGCTAGGAAGGGGGAGGTGCGGAGAGGTAGGTCTTGTGTCCGTTTCGGCTCATGGAATATAGGGACTCTCATCGGTAAGTCGATTGAGCTGGTGCAAATTCTTAAGAGGAAAACGATTGAGGTGGCATGTGTGCAAGAGACTAGATGGGTGGGCACCAACGCACGGGAAGTGGATGGCTTTGAGTTGTGGTATTCCAGCTTTTGGCTAGGAGTATGAACGGAATGGGCTTTTTGATGGCACCAGAACTGCAGGAGTTTGTAGTAGAGGTGTTGAGGGTTAGTGATCGGTTGATGACTATGAAGCTAGTCTTGGGTGGATGTGCTATCAATGTCGTGAGTGCCTCTGCCCCTCATGCTGGCTTGCAAGACGAAGTTAAAAGTGAGTTTTGGGACTCGCTAAATGGGGTGGTAGGTAGTTTTCCGCAGACGGAAGAAAGTTCTTATTGGAGGCGACTTTAATGGACATATATGGGACTTGGCCGAGGGCTTTGAGGAGGTACACGGTGGGTTTGGCTTCGGTGATAGGAATACAACAGGTGTTACACTCTTGGAGTTTGCTAGACCGAGTGATTTGGTGATAGCTAACTTCGGCTTCACCAAGGAAGAGGATCATTTGGATACCTTTGTTAGTAGAACGGGGAGGACGCAAATCGACTACTTCCTCCTGCGCAGGTGCGATCGGGTGCTCTGTAAGGATGCTAAAGTACTCCCAAGTGAGAACCTTACCGCTCAACACCAGCTTCTGGTGATGTATGTCATGATCAAGTGGGTAAGGCCTAGACGAACAACAGGTAGTCCGGAACGTATCCGGTGCAGTCTGGGTAGGGAGAAAATCCCAGAGTTGATAGCTCGAGTGCAAGAGATGGGTGCGTGGGAGTCTGCCAGGGAGGCCACAAACATGTGGGATCAGCCTGCTAAGTACATCAGGGAAGCCGCCAGAAGGTGGAAGCTAAGAAGATGGCATATAGGAGGCTTGTGCACGGTACTGATGAGGAGGTAAAGGCGACTCTTCCAGCGGAGTATAAGATTGCCCATAAGGAGGCTAAGCTAGAGGTTACGAGGGCAAAGAATGCAGCTTTTGAACGCCTTTATAAGGACATCGAGGAGAAAGGCGGCGATCAGATACTTTGCCGGCTGGCTAAGGTACGTGAGAGGAGGGCTCGTGATACGGATCATGTGAGATGTATGAAGGGAAGTGATGGTAGAGTGTTGTTTGAGCCTGAGGTGGCTAATCGGTGGGGGGAGTATTTCTGTGACTTAGTGAATGCGGGAGGAGATTCGAGGCTAGAACTAGATGAGCTAGCACAGTCCGAGACACATCACAATTTTGGGTATTGTCGGCGTATTAGTAAAGAGGAGATGGCTCAGGCCATCCGCGGGATGAGAAGTAGGAGAGCCTTGGGTCGGGATGAGATTCCGGTGGATTTTTGGATGTTTGTGGGACACAATGGGCTAGTTTGGTTAACTAAGCTCTTCAATGTTATTTTCAAGACGGATAGGATGCCAGACGAGTGGAGGGAGAGTGTGTTGGTCCCTCTATTTATGGGTAAGGATGACATTCTGAGTTGCGAGAATTACGGAGACATCAAATTGCTTAGCCACACGATGAAGGTTTGGGCGCGCATCATCGAGTATAGGTTGCGGAAGGGGGCTTGTATTTCTGAGAACCAGTATGGTTTCATGCCTGGCTGATCAACCATTGAGGCCATTCACCTCCAGCGGAGGTTGATGAAAGAATATAGGGCTATGAAGAGGGATCTTCATATGTTGTTTATTGACCTCGAAAAGGCATGCGACAAGATGCCGAGAGAGGTCTTGTGGAGGCATCTTGAGGTGAGAGGTGCTGATCGCATACGTTCGTGCAGTCAAAGATATGAACGCAGACCTTACCCCTTCCTTAAATTCCCCTTCCTAAAATTCAAAGAGACATTGTTTTTTAAAGACCCTACCTCAAAAACAAGTATGAGCCACATAGTTTTAACCTTAAAATGTCAACTTATATATATATATATATGGGGGTTGACTCCACTGAGATGACATGCTTCGGTCAGATGACGCAAAGCTCACCATAGACAGCTACAAAGCTCACCAAACTGTAAGGCAAAGCTCACCATATTTTTTCAACACTTTGAATTCTTTTTTGAAAAAATAAAATCAAAGGAAGGGGTGCACACTAGATTTTGACCGTTGACTGCCAGCATTGACCGCCGCCTGCCTCCGTTGCGTGTCGCCGCCGCCTGCCGCCCCCGTTTACTGGTGGTTGACTAGTGTTGCTATTTTATTATTAATTAATTTTTTAATTTTTAAAATTAAAAAAAAAGATGAGTTTTGGGGTTCAAAGTGGTGAGCTTTGCTTTATTTCCAGCTGAGCTTTGCATTGTCCATTGGTGAGCTTTGTAGTGTAGTGTGGTGAGTTTTGCGTCATCTGACCGAAGCATGTCATCTCACCGTAAGGTTTCATGTCACTGGAGTCAATCCCATATATATATATATGAGGAGATGGCATATAGGAGGCTTGTGCACGATACTGATGAGGAGGTAAGGGCGACTCTTCCAGCGGAGTATAAGATTGCCCATAAGGAGGCTAAGCTAGAGGTTACGATGGTAAAGAATGCAGCTTTTGAACGCCTTTATAAGGACATCGAGGAGTAAGGCGGTGATCAGATACTTTGCCGGATGGCTAAGGTACGTGAGAGGAGGGCTCGTGATGCGGATCATGTGAGATGTATGAAGGGAAGTGATGGTAGAGTGTTGTTTGAGCCTGAGGTGGCTAATCGGTGGGGGAAGTATTTCCGTGACTTACTGAATGCGGGAGGAGATTCGAGGCTAGAACTGGATGAGCTAGCACACTCCGAGACAAATCACAATTTTGGGTATTGTCAGCGTATTAGTCAAGAGGAGATAGTTCCGGCCATCCGCGGGATGAGAAGTGGGAGAGCCTTGGGTCGGGATGGGATTCCGGTGGATTATTGGATGTGGGCCACAATGGGCTAGGTTGGTTAACTAAGCTCTTCAATGTTATTTTCAAGACGGATAGGATGTCACACGATTGGAGGGAGAGTGTGTTGGTCCCTCTATTTATGGGTAAGGATGACATTCTGAGTTGCGAGAATTACGGAGACATCAAACTGCTTAGCCACACGATGAAGGTTTGGGCGCGCATCATCGAGTATAGGTTGCAGAAGGGGGCTTGTATTTCTGAGAACCAGTTTGGTTTAATGCCTGGCTGATCAACCATTGAGGTTGTTGAAAGAATATAAGGCTATGAAGAAGGATCTTCATATGGTGTTTATTGAGGTGAGAGGTGCCGATCGCATACATTCGTGCAGTCAAAGATATGTACGCAGACCTTAACCCTTCCTAAAATTCCCCTTCCTAAAATTCAAAGAGACATTGTTTTTTAAAGACCCTACCTCAAAAACAAGTATGAGCCACACAGTTTTAACCTTAAAATGTCAAGTTATATATATATATATATATATATATATATATATATATATATATATATATATATATATGGGAGCGTCTAAAATGACACCAGTTGCTTACACCAGTTCGT